TCAAGCTCTGTAGTGGGCAGCCCCCATGGAATAGGAAGAACGTGGAATCAAAGGGCATGTGGTCTGATTTTTGGTTTTTTCCCCAGTTTTTAAAAGTAAGGGAGGGGCTGGAGAGATGGCTCAGTGGTCTAAAGCACCTACTTAGAACAAGCTTGGCAAACCACAGGGACCGCGGTTCAATCCCCCAGCACCACATGCCAGCCAGCCCCGCCTCCTGGTGGGCTGAGCTGGCCACACACACTCACACACACACACACACACACACACACACTAAATGTTAAAATAAAAAAAAATAAAAGTAAGGGAAATTGGTTATCTTCCAAATGGAACTTTCAGATATGCTCTTTGCTGCCACCATGCCTGCCACCAGGCCCCGGGATGTAGCCATGTGGCCCTCAAAAATGGCTCACCCATCCCTTAGCATGGCTACCTGAGAAAGGGCCTGGTGATCCATCCTGTGTCCCTGTGATACAACAGCGGTCATGAGGGATGGACTCTGAAAGCAAGGTCCATGGGGCAGCGCCCAGAAGGCGGAGGACAGCACAGTGAGACCCCAGTCCCAGGCTGTGGCAGCCTCTCTCTGAGGGTCTGGTGCTGAGGACAGTGGCGGCGGTGGCCAGGTTGATTTGAAGTCCTGCTGCCCTCTGGGGCTGTGGGACCTCCTAGGGTTACCTGGAGTTGAGAAGAGGCTTCCTGCAAGGTGGATCTGGCCCTAGGCAGAGTGCAGAACATCTTGGCTTGTGCTTCCTGGCTTGTCTGAAGAGGGTGTCACTCCTCATGAGCACGTGGGTTCTGCACATCCAGCTTGTCCACTTCCCGGGGCAGCACCTTTCTCTCCATCTCTGACCTAAGACAGTGTCAGACGCTGTCCCTGAGAGTAGGCGTGCTAGTGGTGGGGCCCGCCACATGTCCTCTGATCATAGATGCTTCCTGGTCCCACCCAGAAGAGCTCCCAGGAAAGCAAGAGCCTCGTGCACCAGAACCCTGAGCAGTGTCACCGTGCTGTGGGTCTGGTCAGCCTCGTACAGTCCATCACTTTCCAGAGAAGGGACCTGCTGCCCTCTGACACTTACACCTATACTCCAGGGACTCCAGCCCGTGAGGAGTAGGCCCTGAGCTCTTCCAGCTGCTGACTCCCACCTCCTCACAGTGCCGATTTCCCGGCCCTGCCTGCTACTCCTGCTTTGACTAGGAGGCCTGGGCAGAAGGGTACTGGTGAAGCTCCCAGGGTTAGGGAGGGCCCAAGGGCACTGCCAGTCTCTGGGCCCACTCGAGCCCAGGCCCGTGACAGGCATGCTCTGGAGACATGGGGGCTCTAGGACATTCCTGGACATCTGTGTCCTGCTGCTGGGAGCACATGCCCGTGCCAGTTCTCAGCAGGCATGTTCCTCAGCTGGGTGGAGCTCCTCTGCAGTCTCCTGTGTTCCCAGGACATGTCAGTGGTGAAGACCGTGCTGGACCTGACATACCCCATCACGTCAGTGTTCTCAGGAGCTGGCTTCAACAACAGCATCTGCAGCATCTTCGGAGACCAGCAGATTGAGGTGGGAATCTGCAGCTACCCTTGGTTTGTATCAGATGCTTTAGAGCCCTCCATACAAGAGGGGGTCCCCTGAGCCATGTCCTCCCTATAGGACCTGTGGCTCCCCTATTTTGCCATCACTACTGACATCACGGCCTCAGCCATGCGAGTCCACACAGATGGTGAGCCCTCCTCCAGTCCGGGGCAGCCAGGGCCAGTCCTTTCAGTCCACAGTGTCAGGTGTGGCAGGAGTACGGAAGGAGAGCGGGCACTTTTGGAGGGCACCATGGGTCTCAGAAAGGAGACAAGCAGCACGGGCAAATCTCCAGGGAGGCAGGGGAGGCAACTTCATCCGCACCCAGGTGGGATAAGGCAGGAGCAAAGATACACTGGTGCGCTCCCTGGAGGTGAGCGCACTTGTACATTCTTGGCCCAACCTGTGGTCCAGGACAGGAAGCTGTGGCAGGTGGCAAAAGGCTCCACTCTGGCCCCTCTGCCACCAGACCCTCTTGACCACCAGGCTCTCTGTGGAGGTATGTGCGTGCCAGCATGTCCCTGTCTGGCTATATGCCCCCTCTCTGTGACCCCAAGGACGGACATCTGCTGATGGATGGGGGCTACATCAACAACCTCCCAGGTGCAGTAAGGGCTGGGGAGCTGGGGCTGGGGCAGTGTGTCCTCGCTCACTCCACCCACACCAGGAAGGCTGGGTGGCACACGTTTTCCTCAGAGTGTGCCAAGGGAGAATGTCAGGCTGGCGTCAGTACAGAACACTCACAAGCACACGCACACACGTGCACGCGCACTAAGTGCACCTGGCATATGGCTGTCCCTGGCAACACAGTGGTGTGCAGAGCAGCGGCCAAGAGACAAACCAGAGCACTTAGGACCCATCTGTGCCCACAGTTGGAGACTAACAGCTTGCAGGTATCATGTGTACTGCTACCTGTTGGACGTGGGCTCCTCAGGGCCCATGCCTTCCCCTCCACCAGTCCTTAGGGCACAGTGAGGCAGGACCTGGCCCCAGATAGGCCTGGGGTTCCACCACAACCTTGGATCTGTGTTCCCTAGTCCGGGGGTAACCAAGACTGCCTCCTCCCTAGCGGATGTGGCCAGATCCCTAGGAGCCAAAGTGGTGATCGCCATTGATGTGGGCAGCCGGGACGAGACAGACCTGACCAACTATGGTGACGCACTGTCCGGGTGGTGGCTGTTGTGGAAACGCTGGAACCCCCTGGCTTCAAAAGTGAAGGTAGGAGTGGTGGTAGGTGGTCGGGCACCCCCTGTGGCTCCTGCCCACACCCCAGAAGGTCACTCAACACCCTCCTCTGGCCCTGGGACCAGCCCTGGGCAAGAAGAGATGACAGAGTGCCCAGAACTTATCCCAGGCCTGTGCTACACCTGGGCCAGGAGACTTGGATGTGTCCCAGCAGGTGCTGAACATGGCTGAGATTCAGACCCGCCTGGCCTATGTGTGCTGTGCCCGGCAGCTGGAGACGGTGAAGAACAGCGACTACTGTGAGTACCTGCGGCCCCCCATCGACAGCTACCGCACTCTGGACTTTGGCAAGTTTGATGAGATCTGCGTAAGTGCTGGCCCCAGGTGGGGGACAGATGGGTCCCCAGCCTCCTCCTGTCAGTACCGGGGGGGGGGGTCCTATGTCTCCTGATGTTCCTGCTGTGTGCACAGGAGGTGGGTTACCAACATGGACGGACTGTGTTTGACATCTGGGTTAGAAGTGGCATTCTGGAGAAGATGCTGCAGGACCAGCAGGGGACAAGCAAGCAGAAGGCCAGTGCGGTGAGGCGACCACATCCCTACAGCTGCCAGGGCCAAGCTGGCCGTGCCCATGTGTCCCACCTTACCCTTCAAGGCAGCCCACGCGGGCCAAGTACTGAGCGCACGTGCTGTGCTGTCCTTCCCATGCGCTCCAGGCCCTGCTCTGCCCCAGTGCCTCCTTCACGGACCTTGCTGAGATGGTGTCACGTATTGAGCCTGCCAAGGCGACTGTAGTAGATGGTGAGTTGGGTGCCCAGGAGGTGGCACCCCTAGGTCCCCCCATCTGTAGGAGTCATACACATTTGCACCCCACTGGCCAGGAAGCTTGCCTAGCACTGCTGTATTCTGTCAAGCCCAAGAGCCTCGGGTGGTCCCACACCAAGGGGACTGGCTCCCCAGGCTGCCCAGGCCACTCCCTCATTCGGCTTATCCCCGTCGTGCTCTATACCTAACTGGAACCTGCAGGATAAGAGTGATGACCGCAAGTCCTCTCCACATGGGACAGCCGGTCCTCTCTTGAAGGGGGACCTGAGAGCCCGGGCACTGGGACACCTGTGCTGGCCAGGCAGTGCAGCTCTGCTCCTGGAGGCTAAGTCTGATCTGGGGTTGCCCATGGTGCATGGTAGAGTGGGCGAGGAGGTTCTGCTTGTTCCATGGCTTTATTGGAGACTTCCCAGGTAGACACGGCCAGGAGCCATCTAGGACCGCGACCCATGTTGCCATGGGTGGGGGGTCTGTAAACATGATCGACCTGACTCTCCCTGTTGCCCCAGATGAATCTGACTACCAGACCGAGTATGAGGAGGAGCTGCCAGAAAGCACCAAGGATGCATACGCTGATTTCCAAAGCACCCAGGTGGAGTGGGGTTCAGACTTGGTGAGCTGCGGTGCTGCCCTTAGGTGCTCTGGGTCACCCTGTCTGGGCTTGGGCCTCCTTATTGTCAGCTTGCTTACAGGAGAATGACCCCTCCACGGCAGCATCGGCACCCTGACTGGGCGTCCCCAGAACCATCCAGGGACTCCTCCTCCTCCCAGCTCCCTGAAGACACACAGAAGCCTTTGCTCTGAGGTTTCCCAGAATCGCTCATCTCCATGGCTGACGCCACACGGAGCAGAGGCTCTGCTTGATCCTAGAGGCACTTTCCTGGGCGACTCTGCCTCCAGCTCCTGGGGAATGGAGGTTCTCCGAAGCTGGGCTGGCCTTTCTCTGCGCTGGCACTGCGTGCCCCAGCAGTACTAAGGGGCTGTGGCAGCCTCTGCAGGTCTCCCTGAAGCCTCTGCGAGGTGCGGGAGCTCCGGATGGATGTTAATAAAGGCAGATCTGATTGTAACCATGTCACTGTAGAACACCTCTCTCTCTCAGAGCAACACCAGGATGATGTAGGTCCCGTTGGGGTGGGGGTGTCATCTACCCTCCCAGGGAGGCGACTCCAGTCAAAGGCGGCAGGGTCCCAGACCCTGGATAAGACTGGGGACCTCTAAAGCAAAGGGAACCCTGGAGCCCACAGGGTTTGTGCAGTCTCCCAGGACCTCTCTCTGGTGTTCAAGGCCTTGGGCCAAGACTCTCCCGCACCCGCGCCCCCATCAACCTTGTGCCCCAGAGGCCCCGCCTACACCGACATCACAAGGCGGAGCCCTTGCTAGCCCCACCCCGGCCGTGACGACGCGGCGGAGCCACCACCCCCGGTCCGCCGAGCTCACCCGGGCGGCGGGACGCGGAGCGCCTGGCACTGCCATGCAGGGCCCGAGTGTGACCGCGACGACGACCGCGAGCCTGAGCGCGAGCCCCCGTGTGGCGCGGCTCCCCCGGCGGAGGCGGCGGGCGCGGGGCGCGCTCTGAGGCCCGGGGGATGCGTGGCCGCGGCCATGGGCGCCGCGGCCTCCAGGAGGAGGGCACTGAGAAGCGAGGCCGTGTCCTCGGTGGCGGCCAAAGTGCGGTGAGCACGGCGGGTTGGGGCATGGGGCACGGGTGCGGCGCGGGTGCGGGGAGCTTGCTGGACCGACCTTGCCCCTGCCGCCCTGCAGCGCAGCCCGAGCGTTTGGAGAGTACCTGTCCCAGAGTCACCCTGAGAGCCGCAACGGGGCAGGTAGGCAGCACGTCTTGTGCCTGGGGTCCATCCATGGCACCCCACAGCCCCTGCCCTAGCCTGGCCCAGGCCCCGGAGGAGCTCTGATCACTCATCACCATGACACCCACCCAGCCCGGGCCGTTGGCATGGCAACAGGCCTCCTGGCACCCCCAGGGCTGGCACCACTGTCTCCGGGGGCCAGCTGGCAAGGGGGAGGGGAAGAGTTGGCACCAAGCACACGCTGTGACTGCAGGGGGGCTGTTTATTCCTGCTCCCCAGGAGCATGCACAGGTAGCAAGGCTTGTCACCCCACATCAGGCACACACAAGGGCTTCAGGCCCAGATGGGAGGACAGGGAGGCTGAAAACACCTTTCCTGAAAGCGTCAGGAAGGAACCCACTTCCAGCAGCCCAAATCCTCACATCACTTGCCCACAGTGGGCCGGGAGACTGGGAGCTCAGGCTGACCTGATGTAGGCTCAAGCACGTACCTCTGGTGCCTCTCCCCAGACCACCTGCTGGCTGACGCCTACTCTGGTCACGACGGGTCCCCCGAGATGCAGCCAGTCCCCCAAAACAAGCGCCGCCTATCCGTCGTCTCCAATGGCCGCTATGAGGGCAGCCTCTCAGATGAGGCTGTCAGTAGGAAGCCAGCTGCCGAGGCCCCCAAACCCCGTGTGTACACCATCTCCGGGGAGCCAGCGCTGCTGCCTGGTCCTGAGACTGAGGCCATTGAGCTAGCAGTGGTGAAAGGGCAGCAGCAGCGGGAGCGGCATCCTCACCACCACAGCCAGCCTCTCCGCGCCAGCCCAGGCAGCAGCCGTGAGGACATCAGCAGGCCCTGCCAGAGTTGGGAAGGTAGCCGCCAGGGCTCCAAAGAATGTCCTGCATGTGCCCAGCTGGCCCCTGGGCCCTCCCCACGGGCCTTTGGGCTGGATCAGCCAACGCTGCCAGAGGCCTCTGGCCGCCGCAAGAAGCTGGAGAGGATGTACAGCGTCGATCGAGTGTCAGGTGAGGGCTTGTCTTGGGATAGGGGAAGCCCTGGGTGGCATGCTAGGGCCAGACAGCAGCAGCACCTTGAAGCTGAGGATGGGTGGCAAATGTGTACATCAAGGAGACTTGGGATGAACCCCAAGACCACCCCAGTATGCGCTCCCTCACCTCAGTAGAGCTGGGCTGGACCTCCTGGTCAGCTTGGCCCTTATGGCCCTGGGTTCCTGAAGAGAGCACTTCCGGGAGGAGGAATCCTGGGAGGACCTTCAGTGGTGAGCAAGCAAAAAGCACGACTCCATTGGAAGATAGGGCTATCTTCAGAAGCCCTGAGGAGCTGTCTGGGACCAAGGGTTGTCCAGCTCCGCAGGCAGTGGTGTCAAAGCTGCTGTGCCCTATGGGGGTGCCCCTCAGAGCTTTAGCAGGCCTTTGCCTGGGGGAAGCAAGGTGCTGAGCGGTGTGGGTGCTGGCTTCTACCTCGTCATCCTGGAGGGATCCCAGGGGAAGGTCTAGTTCGGTATCAGAGAAGGCCCAAGACCATGTGCACAAGAGAGGGGATGAGCCCTTTTCCTAGCCAATTCTGGGAGCAGACAGGATGCCCCTCAACTGCTAGGAAGCCAAAGGGAGTTAGTTAAGCAGAGGGTCAAAGCCTCAAGTCACAGAGTTTCTGAGCATGCACAGCTGGGTGGAACCCACATGGAGATTCCAGGTATCCTGCTGTCTTGACTCAGTGGCTGTGGCCAGCCCCCAAGCCCAGTGTCCCCTTTCTAATGAGACATTCAAACTTTAAGAGGCCATCCACACTAGTCCTGGCTCCTTCTTTCTCAGATGACGTCCCCATCCGCACATGGTTCCCCAAGGAGAGCCTGTTCAGCTTCCAGACGGCAACCACAACTATGCAAGCGTGAGTCCCACAAGGGCCTGGTGCTCAGGGAACACTGGTGACCCGCTGTTCCTGAGCCTGGCAAGCCAGCTGAGCCTCTGAGACCCAGGAGGCACTCATTGCCACAGCTCACATCTTGCCTGCCTGCTCTCTGACCTATTCCTTGTTTCCCCCCTCATGGCCTCCTACCCATCCTAGACCTTGTAGTCTGTCCTCATGTCTCAGGCACTGGCTCAGGCTATAGCTGGAGCCATCATCACAGAGTATGTAGGGGTGCAGGTGTACCCTTCCGGTGTACCCCGAACCTCATTCTCTTCTGTCCTGTATGACACAGTGGTGGTAACATAAGGGCTTCGTGAGGGTCTGTCTGTTTCCCCTCCCAAGGAGGTGCCAGCACCACTCCCACATGTCCTCAGGCTGCTGTCCCTCTGCAGGACTGGCCCAGCCCAGCTGACTGGGCTTAGCGTTCGGAGCATGGGCCTAGTTCCTCAGCTAGCACTGCCGAGCAGCATCCTGCTGGTGGCTTGGTAGGGGGACCCTGCTGTTCCGTGCCAGGAGGAGAGCTCGTTTCGTGGCCCCGGGGTCTGAAGAGAGCTAGGTCTGCGCTCACTGTGTGTTCTTTCTCATGCTGCCCCTTCCTGCTGGCTTCAGCATCTCGTAAGTACTCGTGCAGGCTGTGCCTGAGGGCACAGCCATCGTCCTGGGGAGATCCTTAACCAATCCCAAGGAGGAGTGTGCAGGCCAGGGACCTGGGCTTTGGCTGAGTGCTCAGCCCGTGGGCATGTTCCCCATGAGCACTGAGGCCACAGCAGGGTCTGCGGGAGCCTGGCCTTGGGTGCCCCGCTGGGCCCTCTGCTTGTGCTCTGTCCCCTCGTCTGTGTCCCTTCTGCCTCTGGCCAAGGCAGTGCTGACTTGCCGCGGTTTCCCAGGGTGTTCAGGGGCTACGCGGAGAGGAAGCGCCGGAAACGGGAGAATGATTCCGCGTCTGTAATCCAGAGGTAGGGCCTGCCAGCTACTCGCCACCAGGGTCTGTCTCTGAGCTGCACTGGCCTGGGCCCTCCTGGCCCTGCAGACCTGACGGGGGAAGGGTGGTGGCGACCACTGGCCTGGCCCTGCTCTGGGGACGTGGCAGGCAGGGGATGCCATGTGCCCCAGGCTCCTTTCAGCCCCAGGAGCTGTACTCGGAGGGCTCATGGACAACTGCGCTGCTGCCAGCTGGCTCCCCACATCTGTCTGACCCTGGAGGCCAGAGCTGTGAGGCCATGGCAAGGCCTAGCCTCCCCTACTCCCCCTAGTGTGCCTGGGAAGCTTGTCTGTCCTTCTTGGACACTGGGCCTTAGCAGAGTACAAGGTTTGGGGAAGCGAGGACCTGCTCCCCAAGTGGGGTCAGCTCCCAGAACTGCAGTTGTACAGCAGTGTCACCCGGGCTGCTGTGCAGAAGGTAGCCCTTGGTCCCCTGAGGAGAGTGACTGAGAGGCTCAGGGTGGAGGTGGGCCCAGGGACAGAATGTTGGGAAGGGTCAGTTGCAGGCACGCCTGTGTGCACACCCTGAGAGGACCTATCCAGAGGAAAGGAAGCGTGCTCAAGAGCCTGGGCACATGCCTTTGTTCCGAGTCAAAGGGAGGCCTGAAAGAACCCTGGGGGAGGAGGCTGGGTGGGATTTGCCTGTGCACCTGCAGTGGGCAAGTGGGACCAAAGTCTAGGAGAGGGCAGGGATACCAGGAGGGGCTGAAAGTGGAGCCCTGGTAGGCCAGGGCTAGGTGAGCAGGGGCCTGCCATCACCACCCCCATTGACCGGTGCTTCTTCCCCCAGGAACTTTCGCAAACACCTGCGCATGGTTGGCAGTCGGCGGGTGAAGGCCCAGAGTAAGACCCTTGGGTGGTGGGCAGCTCTGCGCTTGGCCAAGGGGGTGCTTTGCAGGCAACTGGCAGCACTGGAAAGACCGAAGTCCCAGGACCCATTCCAGCCCTGGCCCTGCCCCACCCCACCTTCCCTGTCACCCAGGTCCCACCCCCTTGCCTGCCATGGCCCCGCCAAGGTCCTGACCTCTCCTGCCCAGCCCACAAGTGGTGTCCTTGGACCAGATCCTCACTGTGCACCAAGCTGGCCATTGGTTGCTGTCTGCCCCTGTGCCAGGCCCTGCCCACGCCGGCTTTCGGCGCTCCCCGTGCCCCACCATCCCTAGCCCGGCTCCCAGCCCTGCCACCCCACCTGATGGGGTTTTACTGTCACTGCAGCGTTCGCTGAGCGGCGCGAGCGGAGCTTCAGCCGGTCCTGGAGCGACCCCACCCCCATGAAAGCCGACACTTCCCACGACTCCCGAGACAGTAGGTGTGGGGTGGGGGCAGTCGACCCACTCCCCAGAGTCCTGAGGCCCCCGGTCTGGCCAGAGCCCCAGCATTACTTGGCTTCTGCGCTTGTGCTCTCTGAGCCTCAGTGTACCACCTGTGAGATGGGTCAGGTCACCTTGCTGACCTCCCAGGCAGGGTAACTGAGGGCTCTAGTGGCTGGGGCAGGGTACCTAGGGGCTGTGCTTGCTGCCCTCTGGGGCCTGGCGCACACCTGACAGCTGACGCTGCCCGCAGCTCACATCCTTGCACCTGGGTGTCCCCTTCTCCCCACCGGTGCCAGTGGCATTTTCCCTCACCACGGCCCTCCCACTGCCCCTAAGACCCTCCAGGACACGGCTTGTGGGCTCTGTGGGCGGCAAGGCCACTATGGCGGTGACCCCTCCTGCCTCCCAGGCAGTGACCTGCAGAGCTCACACTGCACGCTGGATGAGGCCTGTGAGGACCTGGACTGGGAAACAGAGAAGGGCCTTGAGGCCGCAGCCTGCAGCACCGAGGGCTTCCTGCCGCCCAAGGTTATGGTGAGGCCCCTGGGGTGCCTGTGGGAGGGAGCAAGGGGTGTCAGGCTCTGCCCTCCCCTGGCTGGGTGTCAGGGGCTCTGCCCTTGGCTCCTCTAGGAGAGCGTTGGGCTGCACCCTGAGCTGAGGAGAAGAGCAGCCTCCCGGAGCTCCTGCTGCCCCTGGCTGTGGGATGGGCCTGGGTGCTGAGCAGCTCTCCTGTTTCCCCAGCTCATCTCCTCCAAGGTGCCCAAAGCCGAGTACATTCCCACCATCATCCGCAGGGATGACCCCTCCATCATCCCCATCCTTTACGTGAGTGCCCTGCTGCATGATCCCTGCGCCCCTGGGCTTTGTCCCCCAGGGATTTGGTGGGGCCGCCAGGGGCTGACCCGTGGCTGCCTGTCCCCTAGGATCACGAGCACGCAACCTTCGAGGATATCCTGGGTATGTGACCTGTTGGCCTGTTCTGCCCCGTGGGGAGGGTGTCTGCACCAGCTGGTGTGGTGCTTATGCCCCCTGTCCACAGAGGAGATAGAGAAGAAGCTGAACGTGTATCACAAGGGGGCCAAGATCTGGAAGATGCTGATTTTCTGTCAGGTGGGGCCCAGCCCTCCCTTTACCCCAGGGAAGCACCAGTGTGGTGGTGGAAGGCAGCCAGGGTTGTGCCTCATGAGAGTGTGGGTGGTATACATGCGTGGCGTATGTGAACACGCAGTCTGTGTGCATGTGTGGTGTGCATGCTTCCACACAGTGTGTGCGTGGTGTCTGTGGGAGGGGCGCCTGCAGGAGTGCCTGTTGGTTGAGCGGGGCTGGACACCTCCCTCTGGCCCCTAGAAGTCTACCCACAGCCTCTTTCAGGGAGGCCCTGGACACCTCTATCTGCTGAAGAACAAGGTGGCCACCTTTGCCAAAGTGGAGAAGGAAGAGGACATGATCCAGTGAGAGGGCGGTGTCCTGGGCGGGGGAGGGCTAAGCAGTCCTAGGGCCTGGCTGAGGCCAGCTGGACCCGTGCCCCAGCAGCTTCTGGAAGCACTTGAGCCGCCTGATGAGCAAGGTGAACCCAGAGCCAAATGTCATCCACATCATGGGCTGCTACATCCTGGGGAACCCCAATGGGGAGAAGGTATGGCCAGGCCAGCAAGAGGTGCTTCCCCTGCCCTCCTGCCCTCTTGGGTCCCTTGGCTGAGCTCCCGGCTTGCCTGTCCTTACAGCTGTTCCAGAATCTCAGGAACCTCATGACTCCCTACAGGGTCGCCTTTGAGTCACCCTTGGAGCTGTCTGCCCAAGGTGAGTGAGCCCTGCCATCAGCCACGGGTGTGGGGGTCCCACCCCCCCCTGAGTCCCCGCTCTCCTGCACAGGGAAGCAGATGATCGAGACCTACTTTGACTTCCGGCTGTACCGCCTGTGGAAGAGCCGCCAGCACTCGAAGCTGCTGGACCTCGATGAGGTCCTGTAAGGGGCCGGGCCATGCCAGCTACCCCGGGGCCATGGGCACTGCACCCAGGACACATGGTCCTGGTCTTGTCCAGAGTTCTTTAGGGGCCCCAGGAGGTCACTCAGGTTTTCGTGGGTCTGGTCCTCACTGGACCCACGGCCCTAAGGCCTTGGTCCAGGCCCAGCAGACACTCAGTGGCTGGGGCACCGACCTGCTGTGCCTCGCCTGGAGGCTGCAGTGTTGAGATCCCCTCTTCGGGGTTCATAGAAATAAGTGCAATTTCTTATGCCCCTGAAACAGTCTGAAGGGAAGCAGCATTACTAGTTAACTAGTCCAGCGCTATGCTACTAGTTATGGCATAGACTACCCGGCCCAGTGTGTGTCCACGTCCTTGCTCCCTAGCCCTTCAGCCCTGCCGTATCTGATCACCAGCACCAGGATGGCCCGTCTATCAGCTTCCCCTTTTTTCCTACTCCCCCGCTCACTCTGACCTCAGCCAGTGAGGGGTGGCCAGGCAGGGGCGCTGTGGGGTGGGAGCCACTTTCGTTGGCCTTGTTTGGAGGCCTCCTCTCCGCACAGAGGCCTGGGCCTGGGCCCTGCAGGGTGAGAACCACATTGGATGCTGCCAGCCCCGGCACCCGAGGCCTGAGCCCAAGGAGCTTATGGGTGGCAGGGTCCCCAGCTCCCCTTCCCTGCCTTGCCCAGGGCCCACAGGTGGGCTCTCCTGTACATAGCTGGGGCTTGGGGGCAGGCCCCCCTTTTGCAGAGCCCAGGGCCAAGGGCACCTGGCTGTGTCCCTGGCCGGGATGGGGCTAGCTCTATACGATGTACGATACCTTAGAGTGACCATTAAACCTGATCCTCTGCTGCGGCTGTGCGTGGTCTCTGCTCAGTACCCATCAGTGCCCACTGGCCCAAAGTCACTGCAATGGCAGCTTCCTGTGCACTGTGGCCTGGCGGTGCCATGGTGGACATCAGTGTGGAGAGAGGATGGAGGGCCCATCGGGGCAGGAGAGTATGTCCCAGGAAAGGGCTGAGGATGGAGACAGTGTCCTCTTGCCACCTCCACCCCTCCCTGAGCAAGGCTGCCCACACCTTCAGGGCCCCAGTGGGCATGCAGCAGTGTGACCACAGCAGAGGCCACAGGGCATCCCCAGAACTAGTTGGCCAGGTCCCAGTGTCCAGGCCACAGGCAGGCGCCGCTGCCAGATGGCGCCCATCCTGTGGTGGGGCAGAGCCACTGGTTGGGAAGAGGAGGGGGCCGCCTGTGCAGACCCAAGTGGAGATGGGGGCCCGTCCGATGCTGCTGAGTATAGAAGCTCGTGGGATGAAACATGCAGGGTCCACACGCTTGCGCTGACTTAGGTGCCCACGCTCCCTGCGGTGACAGGAGACCGCCGTGACTCTGTTCTGTGGTCCTGTGCCTCGCCTCTGGCCTCATGGCACCCTGCAGGCTCAGGCAGGGCATGTGAGGCTGCTGGAGCAGGTGCTCCTGCCCCACAGTCCTGGGGTCACTGAGCGGGCAGGAGTCTAATCCGTGGCTTTCAAGGTTTCATCCCCGCAGCCAGCAAGGAGAGGACATCATCAGGGAAGTGGTGAGGGGAGCCAGTGCCCCCAGGCATGTGGGGACTTGGGCGGGTAGAGTGGGTGGGTGCCTGAATGCTACAAAACAGTAGGGGTGGAGACATTTGCATCACATGTAACAGTTTAAGGATTAAGCTATTACCAACTTTAATTGGTGAAGAGCTTATAGGCAGATTAGGGAAAGTAGCACCAAGAGGGCAAACGCGCCAAGATGTGATGAGACGGGCAGGAGCTGGGGCCATTGAAGGCGAGGGAAGCCTGAGCCCTGCTCAGGTTGAGAAAGGCAGCCAGGTGCCCTTTCTGCCTTGTGCAACTTGCGTGGCGAAGCTCAGACAGAGTCCTGGAAGGAGGCCGCTGCCTGCCACAGTCACACGGCACACCCAGGAGCAGCACACTAGGGCAAGAGCGGGTTGTTTGTTCCAGTGACTCAGAAGGCGAAGCTGGCTCTAGCAGCCAGAGGCCATTGGAAGCAGTGGTAAATGGTCTCAGGCTAGGAAACTCAGGAGACAGCGTGGAGGTGGTCCTCCCTGGTCGCCCTGCCACACTGGCCTCATGCTCCTGGGTGCAAAGGCCTTGAGTTGCACATGTAGATGTTCTGCACAACTCCAGACAGACACCCTGGGTGTCCCTTGCCTCTCTACCGTAGCAGAGCACCCTCCCTAGGGAGCGTGAAGGCAGCTGGGGGTGTGGTGGCTGGAAGAAGAGGAAGAGAAGCCTGGTGGGTGGGTGGGTGGGCGTGTGAGTGGTGGAGGACCGTGGGGGGGTGGCCTCACACCCTGCTGTGTGTGGTGCTTCTGCAGCTGACAGTGTGAGCAGATGGCCCTCTCTGGAACCTTCTGGCATGGGCTCAGCTCCTCTGTCACCTCTGTGTTCCCCTCCACCTCTACCTCCTAACTTGAAGGCTGGGAAGGGAGTCAGGAGCTTGGGGGGGGGGCTGGAAAATAGCAGAAAACTACCCATAGAGGTGTTGTGAGCCTATGGCCCGGCTAGTATGCACGTACCCATCACCCTAACTCAAACCTAAAGTCACACCTGACCAGAGCAGTTGATCTGGCTCTTTCCTAGACTCCCTGTGGGTACCACACAAGCCAGACCGACCCGATAATGCCCCAAAGAGTTGGAGAAGTAAAGGGACCTAAGTCCATTGCCACCAAGCCTAAGACCAGGACACCAGCAGTCTCCGTGTGGTGGAAGGAAGACCCAGAGTCTGCTCAAGGTCGAAAACATCATCACTCGGCATCTTGACCAGCCCTGCACAGGAGCTCAGCGTGAAAGGACAAAGGTGTGGAATTATCCACAAATACCCTAATGTAGCTGTACAGAAATGCTCAAAAAAGCCAGGTCAAGCACTTAACTATTAGAATAGAAAATATGTGCAAAAAATGGAGGGCCGGCAAGATAGCTGAGTAGACTAAGTGCCTGCTCAGGCAAGCACAGGTACCAGGGATCGATCTCGCACCACATGCAGTGCTGGCCCTGCCCCCAAGCACGCTGAGCCTGTAATGCCAGCACTGGGGAGGCTGAAAATAGGATCACTATGAGTTTGATCTGCGTAGTGAGACCCTGTACCAAGTAACATTAAAAAAAAAAAAAAAGATCTTAAAAAAGGAGGATATAAAGCCACATAGACATTTTAGAACTGAAAACACAGTCACCATTATTGAAAAGGCAGACAAAAGCCAGGGCTTACCAGACTCAACAGCAACTGGAGGAGGAGCAGGGGAGCCATCAGCACAGAGCTGGCCGGGGAAGATCCCTCAGAAGAAGGAACACAGATGGGGACAGGAATTAGGACAACTAGGGAGCACTCGTGGCAGTGCCCAGCCCTGGGGCCTGGGGACAGAGGGTGTGTGATAGGGGTGTCACCCTAGCTCAAGAAGCACAGGGGAGTTGAAATGCTGAGAAATTAAAGAAGGAAACACCCCAGGTCTGGTGAGGGATGAGCCCATGAATGTGGGAAGCTAAGTAGCCTTAAAGAGGACCAGCCTAGGAGATCACGTGACACATCCTCACCACATGGCTGAGTACCAAGGACGCAGGCCCACGCCGCACGCAGAGCTGCAAGGGGGCCAGAGGGATGGCACCAGCCTGGGCCTGGAGGCTACACTCAGGTCAGCGTCATCACAGGCAGCGATCCTCTGAGCAGCTACCCTGGAGCAGCAGGTGCCTTCTGCCTGCATTCACATGGGTGTCCCATCTGTGTCCCGAGCCTCCTCCCAAAAGGGCGCAGTGTGGGGCTGCTCCATCCCCAAGACTGTCCATCTACTTCCGATACTCTGCAGCCCCAGCCTCCAACAGGCATAATCCAGGGGTACCATGTCTCCACTTAGATTTGATTAATATGTGAAAACTGCCTATAGGCCCAGGCAACACTGCATCTGTCAGTGACCAAAGAATCCAGAGGAGAGCTACAAAGCAGGAAAAATGGGCTTCTGGACTCCCCTGGGGCCCCAGGAGTTCAGCCATCCTGAAGCTTTATAAACCTTGCCTTTTGCGCTGGGGAGATAGCTCAGTGGTCTAAGCATCTGCCTGGCAATTCCAAGGACCCAGGTTTGATCCCCAGTACCACATGCCATGCCAACCCCCAGAACCTTGGGTGCACCCTGCTGGCCACGGAAACCAAGCGTGGAGGCACGTGCCTGTAATCACAGCTCTGGGGAGGGTGAGACAGGAGAATCACTATGAGTCCAAGCTGCACAGCAAGACCCTGTACTAAATAAATAAAAAATTCTGGATGGTTAACAACCTAAGTTTGCAGACCAAAATTAGAGAAAAAGGAGGGATACAAGGAAAGCCAACATTTTGGCCCTAGCCTTCTAAGGTCAATTAAGACTCAGGACATATGAGAACTTGTACTGTAACGTCATGTACCTCGGTAGTGTCCCAAATTTTCTGATCAAGAAGATTATGGGGCCAAAGAGGAAAGTGATCGATGACGTAGAGTGGGCCTAAGGAGAGTCACATGGGGAGAAGACACTCTCTCAGGCATTCACAGAAAGCACATTGGCCAAGCAATGGCCATGACTCATCCACATGGCTGCACTGATAAAGGTTCTACAATCTGAGGTACAGGATCTCAGGACAAATCCTGAGGGCATTTCACTGACCTTCTCAGACCAAAAAGCTACAACTCTTGTTGCACAGGTCCTGCTTTACCTTGGTCTTAACCATCCAGTAGAAAAGTATGAAGATGAAATATAGGAAGTAAAGCCATGTTGTTATGTTGAGTTGTGGGGGACTCAGGTCAATAATTTCTGACATTGCCAGTTAAACAGAAGACCCAATGCTATTATGGGCTACTGGACTCTTTTAGAATATTTTGCTGAGTTTACACACCTATAATATTCAATAACAGAACTTAGAAAAAATGGGGCATACAGATGAATGTCCATTTTGTATCTGTGTATTCAAAGAGGTTGGGATAGATATATAGTTGCATTCTCTTAGTGAATAGAATGATTTGTTCTAATGGTGTTTGTAAATAGGATCACAAGTCCGCATCTTGTCAGCAATTAACCACTAAGAAGAATATATGTAGTGTATTATTTGTTGAAACTGTACTTCCGATTTGATTTGAAACTGTCTCATTGCTGTTTATCAATAAAACTTTGAAAAAATAAATAAATAAATAAATAATTCAAAACAAATATTAAAAAAAAAACAACTTGCCTTTTTGGGTGTAGTGGGGAAAATCCCTGTTTCTAGGCCCTCCCCAGAGGGAGTCAGGAACCAGGAACCACAGCTGGACGTATGCTGCACATCAAAAGGATGCAACTCCAAAGACCTCAGCCATGCTGGAGGCCAGCTCTGGGCTGGTGGACAGTCACCTCTGTCATTACAGAATGACCGCATCTCCCGGGGAAGCTGCCCGAGTTGGCAGGCTCTGCGGGATGCAGAGGCAGGTGTGGTCTCAGCAGATGCCCTCATGCTGCCTGGCACCGGTATGGCAGAAGAACACTGTCATCTCTGCACTGGCCCACCTCTGCTCTTCCTTGATTCTGATGCTGCTGCCTTGCCCAGTTGGCAGGGACAGCTGGTGGCTGCTGTGTGGGGCCAGCCTGCAGAAGCCTCTCACATCCTTCACTGGACAGCAGAGCAGCAGCCCATGGCCAGCTTCCTTGAGCCCTGCCATGGCCGGGTGGGGTACAGCTGCAGGCCACCCCCCTCAGGAGCTCCCCCCACCCCCTGCACTCAAGTGCCCTGTTCAGTGCCCCTCCCTCGCGTAGCTCTCCACCCACAGGGGCACACACATTGTCCTCCAACTCACCAGCAGAGGAGGTTGGCAGG